ATTACTTATGGGAAATCATGGAATCATAGAAGGACTTGGAAAGGATCTTAAGGATCAGCCAGTGCCACCCCATCCATGGCAGGGACACCTCCCACTGTCCCAGGGGCTCCAGACCCAGTGTCCAACATTTCCTTGGACATTCCAGGGATCCAGGGGCAGCCCCAGCTGCTCTGGCAATCCCAGCCCAGCCAGGAATTCCTCATTCCCAAGATCCCATCCCTGGCTGCCCTCTGGCAGTGGGAGCCATTCCCTGGGTCCTGTCCCTCCATCCTTGTCCCCAGCCCCTCTGCAGCTCTCCTGGAGTCCCTGGAATGTGCTGGAAGCTCTCCCTGGATCCTTCCCTTCTCCAGGTGAGCACCTGGAGAACAAAGACACAGGGAATTGCTCCCACTGCCAGAGGGCAGCCAGGGATGGGATCTTGGGAATGAGGAATTCCTGGCTGGGCTGGGATTGCCAGAGCAGCTGGGGCTGCCCCTGGATCCCTGGAATGTCCCAGGCCAGGCTGGACACTGGGGCTGGAGCAGCCTGGGACAGTGGGAGGTGTCCTGCCATGGTGGCAAAAGATTATTTTAAGATCCCTTCCCACCCAAACTTTTCCATCATTCTACAAAATTGACATTAAAACCTGGTTTTGCCAATACCACTGACGGTGGCAGCGACGAGACAGCGGTGATAACCCGGCCCAAAAATTGCTCCTCAGACCTTCAAAGCACTTGAAAAGAGACAACCCCTAAAGCGTGAGCTTGGATGTGGCGTGGTGAATTCCTCTGGAAATCCAGACGCTGTGGCCAGCCCTTGGTGCTCTCCCTGCACCCAAGGGTGGGATGCTTTAGGATCACATCCTTGTCCTGGATGGGAAGGATGGGAGTGCACCCCTGAGACAGGGACCTGGCAAGGCTCGGTGGGATGATCCTACAAATCAACCTGCCAGGGAAAATTCCCTGTGTGAGCACCCCGGAGCTGCTCCGGAACTCACAATTCCTGAGCTGGGAATTCCTTCCCACGGGGTCAGACCACTCACTGCAGGCTTCCCGTGGCGGTGCCTCAGGGAGGGTCTCAACCCTGAAAATAATTTCATCTCAGCGCAAGAATTAAATAATAAACCAACAGCTCGAGCTGGTGCCTCTCAGGAGGCAATGGAAAATTCTGGATTCCTCAGCTCCTGCCACGGCTCCGAGTGTCCCTGTCAGTGCCAGCTCAGGTCCCCTTGTCACCCCCCAGAGCCTGACCAGCACCGAGTGCCTCCCTCAACAGCCACTCATTCCCTAGCTCTGATTTTTCATGGAAAAGCTCAAGGATTTTCACGGAAAGGTGTAAAAATGTGGGATCACAACCCTCCAATCTGACCAGTGGAAACTCTCACCCAGTTTTCCTTATCTCCTGCCACATTAGCAGCTGCAGAGCTCATTTGCAGCAGCAGCAGCACCAAAACCCTCACCTGGAAATTTCAGACACCGTTGGATTTTTTACACCTTTTGAAGGAATTCTTGAGGAGAAAGGCAAAGTCTTCCCAGACCGAGTTTTCTTTACCACAAGGTGAGATGATCACGCTCAGCTCTCGCACAAACTGCTGCGAACCCTGCCCTGCTGATTGTTTTTTATCACTCTCACCCTGTGGTATAAACTGATTTTTATAACTCTCACCCAGCCCATCCAGAGTACAGCCACAAGCACTGTGGATAGTCCCCAGCTAGAATTCAACTATGTGGATTCTTGGTTTCTTCTTTCTTCAGCATCTTAATATTCAATTTTTTTTTGGTAAGGGTTAAATGTGTGAGATGGTATTTCTTGAGTTTTATAGTATTTCATGCTAATAAACTAAAAAATTGAGTTGTAGCTCTTTCTTTAGAAGGTTTTTTTAAGGATGAACTGTTGAATTAAGAAATGATACTTAAATTATTTCTACTTTTAATTTAATGACTTAACTATCTGTGGCCTGCAATGGGGACTTTTTTAATCCAATTACACAAAGCCACCCAAACCCATGGAGAAGAAGGTGAAGAAGGACCAGCCTCTGCCCTAAAATCTCCATTTTGTTTTATATTTATTCCTGTATTCTAAACCCTGAAATTCTGAGTTTCCCACCCTGTGGTATCACACACTTCCATCCCAACTCCACCCCCACAATCCCAGTGCTGCCATTCCAGTTTGGAAGCTTCTCCAGGGCCTCAGGTCACGGGTGCTGCCTCTCTTCTGCTTCAGGGAGGTTAATTGAGGTTAATTCTCTTTCATTGAATGGCAGAGGGAGATTTTATTCCCCTGTGAAATGGTATAGAAGTTACCCTTTGTTTTGCTTTTCCCAGACATTGACAAAACAGAAAAATAAAAAACCCATGTGAGAATAAACAAAGGCCACGAGCAAGGAGCCGAGCTGGGGAGGATTTGTTGCGAGGAGAATCTGTGGGATCCGAGTTTTACAAATGCCGTGGGATGGGGACTGACCGCAGGAGCTCTGCAGAACTCCCAGGGCTGGAGCAAAGGCTCGTTTTCAATTTTTGAAATTTTGAATTTTCCAGATTTCAGCACTGGAGTTCATGGAACCCCGCCAGACCCACGGGCGGGCACAGGAGGGAGGAGCTGCATCCCCCCAGGACACCGCGATTCCCTCGAATTTGCCCGGGCAGGCAGCGCAGCCTCATCTCCTGCCGGGATCGCATCCCTTCCCAAAGTGCCGCATCCCACGAGAACCCCAAATCTCCGCACCCCCCCAGGCACCGCTTTCTCCGCGGGTATCCCATTCTCCTTTCCCCATCCCATACTGCACTCCCCGAACCCAAATATTTCATCCTCTTCCTCCGGGGGGCATCTCCCACGCGCTGGATGCTGACTGCATCCCTGTATTCCATCCCTTTCCGGGCACCCAAATTCCCCCCGGGTACCGAATCCCCCCTCCGGGCACTGCCACCCCCGCTCGCCCCTCCCGGCCACCGCATCCCCTCCCTGCCATTCCCGGCAGGGCGGTGCGTCCCAGCCGGTGGCTCCGGCTCCAAAGCGAAAGCGAAACCGTTCGGGCCACCACCGGGACGGCGTCGGCGGCGGGGAAGCGAGGGAAGCGCCGCGGAGCTCCCGGCGGAGCTGGCCCGGGCCGGTGCCATGGCACCGCCGCTGCTGCAGCTGCTCTGCGGGACCGCCGCTCTCCTGCTGCTCCGCGCCGCCGCCGACACCGGTAAGGGCGGCGGGGCTGCCCCGGGCTCCGGCCGGCTTGGCCGAGCCCAGCCCGGGGTGTCCGGACCCTCCCCGGGGTGTCCGGACCCTCCCCGGGGTGTCCGGACCCTCCCCGGGGTGTCCGTACCCTCCTCGGGGAACCCGCACCCTCCCTGGGGTACCCGCACCTCACCGGGGTACCCGCACCCTCCCTGGGGTACCCGCACCTCACCGGGGTGCCCGCACCTCCCCGAGGTGCCCGCACCCTCACCGGGGTACCCACACCCTCCCCGGGGTGTCCGTACCCTCCCCGGGGTGCCCGCACCCTCCCCGGGGTACCCGCACCCTCCCCGGGGTGCCCGCACCCTCCCCGGGGTACCTGCACCCTCACCGGGGTGCCCGCACCCTCCCCGGGGTACCTGCACCCTCCCTGGGGTACCCTCACCTCCCCGAGGTGCCCGCACCTCCCCGGGGTACCCTCACCTCCCCGAGGTGCCCGCACCCTCACCGGGGTACCCACACCCTCCCCGGGGTGCCCGTACCCTCCCCGGGGTGCCCGCACCTCACTGTGGTACCCGTACCCTCACTGGGGTGTCCGGACCCTCCCCGGGGTGCCCGCACCTCCCCGGGGTGTCCGGACCCTTCCCGGGGTGCCCTCACCCTCACCGGCGTGCCCGCACCTCCCCGGGGAACCTGCACCCTCCCCGGGGTACCCGCACCCTCCCCGAAGTACCCACACCTCACCAGGGTGCCCACACCTCACCGGGGTGCCCGCACCTCACCGTGGTACCCGCACCCTCCCCGGGGTACCCTCACCTCCCCGAGGTGCCCGCACCCTCCCCGGGGTGCCCGGACCCTCCCCGGGGTGCCCACACCTCACTGGGGTACCCGCATCCTCACCGTGGTACCCGCACCCTCCCCGGGGTGCCCTCACCTCCCCGGGGTGCCCACACCTCCCCGGGCTGCGCACCCCTTGCCCAAGGCGCTCGCTCCGCTCCCCGCGATGCCTGCGGTACCCCCGGGATGCCCGCTCCGCTCCCGGGTGAGCCTGCTCGGCTTCCCGAGGGAATCGCGCCGCTCCCGGGCCTTTCCCAGCTCCCGCTGAGGTGCCCACGCTCTCCCCGGGGTGCCCGTGCCACCCCGAAGGTGCTTCCTCCGCTCCGCTCGCCGCGATGCCCGCGCTAATCCCGGAGTGCCCGCGCCGCCCCGGGGGATGCCCGCTCTGCTTCCCGCTGCTGCCTGGAGGACTCACGCTATGAGCCCCCACTTGGGTGCCCGTGCCATCCCTGGGGTGCCCAGGCTGCTCCCTAGGGTGCCCATGCAATCCCTGGGGTGCCCAGGCTGCTCCCTAGGGTGCCCATGCAATTTCTGGGTTGCCCAGGCTGCTCCCTAGGGTGCCCAGGCTGCTCCCTGGGGTGCCCAGGCTGCTCCCTGGGGTGCCCAGGCTGCTCCCTGGGGTGCCCATGCAATCCCTGGGGTGCCCAGGCTGCTCCCTGGGGTGCCCAGGCTGCTCCCTAGGGTGCCCATGCCATCCCTGGGGTGCCCAGGCTGCTCCCTGGGGTACTCAAGCTCCCACTCAAGGTGTCCTTGCTGCTTTATGGGTGTGCTCAGGCTGCTCCCTGGGGTGCCCACGCTGCTCCCTGGGGTGCCCAGGCTGCAGCCCCGTGTTCCCTGGGTGCTCACCTCGCTCCTGGCACTCCCCCAGCACCTCCTCACGGTGTCCAGGGAGGCTGGGGCTGATTTTTAGGATCCCATGGCAGCTGCCTCACTGTGGGATTTCGGCCTGGGTGTGCTCTGTGGGTTTTCCATGGCACCGGGAGTTGTCCGTGGCTGCTGAGCCTGGAAGGTCACATCATTGTCTTGCTGCTGCTAAAATCCAAAATCCTGGAATCACTGGATCACGACGGCTGAAAGACACCCTCAAAGTCACTGAATTGACAGAGCACCGCCAAGGCCACCACTGACTGTGTCCCCAAGTGCCACATCCACAGGGCTTTGAAATCCCTCCAGGGATGGGGACTCCACCCCTGTGCCAGGACTGGACAAACCTTTCCAGGAAGGAATTTTCCCTAAAATCCCCCCTGAGGCTCCAGTTCCCTCTGCTCCTGTCCCTGTTCCCTGGAGCACAGCCCGACCCCCCGGCTGTCCCTTCCTGGCAGGGACTTGTGCAGAGCCACAAGGTCCCCCTGAGCCTCCTTGGCTCCAGGCTCAGCCCCTTCCCAGCTCCCTCAGCTTTTCCTGGTTTTCCAGACCCTTCCCCAGCATTGTTGTTCTTGGAGCTTTGGGAAAAATCTCATCACAGCTCCAGCCTTGGCTCATCCTCCCCGGGAGCTGCTGGAAGCAGCAAGACAATTAGGCAATATTTAATTTGCTGATAATGTGGCAGCTGCCAAGGGTTCTGTGAAGTAAGGATGGAAGGAAATTCAAACCTTTGGCACGGCTTCAGTGCTCACTCTTCTCCAAGCTCCCGTGTGCTCCCGAAGTCCTGGGAATTGAATTTATCCCTGTTTATAACGGAATGACGGGAATGGCCAGGAATGTAAAAAGTCTTGGGTAATAAAAGTCAGAAGAGCCCCTAAGACACCTCAAAATTCCTCACTGACCACTGAGCCCAGACATCCAGACAACATTCCAGGCAGCAGTGCTGCCACCAGATCCTTGTTTGGGGCAAAACCTGTGGGTTTAGGGGGTGTTAGAGAAAATGAATAATATTTATTTCTTTTAGTTCATGTGATGGGTAATTTGGGATGTGCTGCTGTATCCCACCATGTTCCCACTGGGCATCCTGTCCTCTCCTGCTCAACTGGAAATATTTTTGAGTTAAAATGTGAAAGTTTTATTTATGTACGTGATTTTGGCATCTCTCATCGATTTTTCTTGTGAAATTCCTCTTTTCTCCTCTTTTTTTTTGGCTCATGGCTTTTAAATTTTGAGCAGAAAAACTCCCACGTCTCTGGGCCTTTTCCTGATAATTTTTTTTAAGGAGAACAGACAAGTTTTTCCGGGTGTGGATTTTCCCAGCTGTGGTTGTTCACCCTTGGGAAGCTGTACTTGGACATGGGATGACATCCTGGCTGTTGTTCTGCTTCCCAACGTGTCGGGATGAGCTCATCCTCCCCAGCTGCCGTCGTTGGAGGTCGCTGGTGGAGAAAGACCAGGAAAAGTGAAGTAAAAAAATCCATGGAAATGCAAAATCCATGGATATCGGGCACGTTTCAAGCTGGATACTTTATCCCAGCAGGATCCAGATGGAAATCAGGCAGCTGGAGGTGTTTTCCTGGCACGGTCGGCTCCCGGCACCGCAGCTCCTTTGGGATGAGTCTTTGAGCACCTGGGATGATCCATCCATGGGAAATTCCAACTCACTTCTGAGGAATTAAAGCCTAAATCCTGCATCTCCAGCTGATTCCTCCCCTTTTCCCTCTTGGGATGTGCTTGGTCTCATCCATGGATGGTGATCCTGGAGTGTGGCGCTGCTGGGATCTTGTTGGAACAACTTGGGCATTTTTTGGAAGAGAAGATTCCAAGCAACTGGAAAAAAAAAAAAAAGATAAGGAGAGCTGGTTTAAAAGCTGGGAGACATAAACAGAGCTGGCAGATCCCTGTTTTTCCTGGGTATTTTTGGTGTTTCCAGCTGGATTTCTTGCTGCGCTCCTTTCGGAGGCACTGGGATTTGGGAATTGGCACCATTCTGATTAGTCAGTGAGAAACTGGGAGGGTTTCTCTGTGACTAAAGGCACAGTGCCAGGTCTGGTGAGTTGTGACACTCCAACATCCCCCAGGCAGGGGGGATTTCCTTGAATCCTGGTTCCAAGAGCTGCCGATTCCAGGAATGTTCACCCACATGTTGAAAGAAGACCAACAGCCGCTGTGCTCAGCACACGCGTGTCCCCACGTCACTCATGTCCTCCGGCCACACTGGCCAGGATCACATCTGGATCCACCCTGGCACTGAAATGGAACAGATTCCCTCTGGGAAGTTCTGGGGATAACACCACAAATTGGGGCAGGAGGTTTTTGAGGCTGGAGATTTTTACCTCTGGATGTTTTGGGTGCTGTGGGAGCACGCTGTGTTCCTGTCCCCACTGCTGCTGTGCCAGTCCCCTTCCCATCCATCCTACTCCCATCCTGTTCCCATCCCCACGGTTTCCAATTCCCCACTGTGCTCCCATTCCCACTATTTCCATTCCCATCCCTGCTGCCATCACACTCCTGTCCCTGGTGCCCGCTGTCCTTGTCACCGGCACGTTCCCATCCCTGTATGCTTCTGTCCTCACTGCCATGCCATTCCCGTTCCCATTCCCATTCCCATTCCCATTCCCATTCCCATTCCCATTCCCACTGTTCTTCCATCTCCATTCCCTAATGATCCCAGCCCAGCTGTGTGTTCCTCCTGGCTGGACACTGCTCCATCCCAGCTGGACATTGTTCCATCCACGGCAGGCATCAATTCATCCATCCAGCCTGGCCATGCCTCGTTCCATCCTATCCATGCTTCCCATCCCAGATATCCATCATTCCATCCTATTCCTGCTTTCCCATCCCACATACCCATTGCTCCGTCCTATTCCTGCTTCCCATCCCAGTTATCATCATTCCATCCTATTCCTGTACTTCCCATTGATCCATCCTAGCCATACTTCACATTCCA